TTTGTGTGGTAGCTGTCCAGTGTGGTAGCCACTAGCCACATGTGGCTACTGAGCCCTTGGACTGTGGCTAGTGGAAATGAAATGTGCTGTCAGTGTAAAATGCACATATGATTTCAAAGACTTCCTATTAAAAAAAGTGAGCTATCTCATTGATATTTTTTATATTGATTACAAGTTGAAATGATAACATTTAGGATAGACTGGATTTTAATGACTAATTAAAAGAATTTAATTACTAATTTTAAAATTAAAAAAATTTTAATATGTGGCTTGCATTTTGTTTCTAGGGGATAGCGCTGAGTTAGAGAGTGCTTGTTAGTGACAAGGATTATGCTAAGTAGTAAATGTGTAGTATCTTGTTTAATCCTATGATGACTCTGACAGGTAGGTATTATTTATCTTCTTTCTACAGAGGAGGAAACTGGCACAAAGAGTGAATGGTCTGAGATTCACCACCAGCAAGGAACAAAGCTGGCATGAGAACCTGGGTGGAGTCAGTCCAATGAACTGCGCACTTAACCTCTACCCACACTGCTAAGTAGAGGGGCCTGTGGGCTGGGACAGGAAGAGGCATCAAGAGCCATCCAGGTGGAAGGAATAGCACATGTCTGAAAACACTGACGTTCCATGGACTAGAGGGCCTCAGCACATTCGGCCGCGGGGTGATCCCATGGAGGATCTACTTTCTTGGAGGCTGTTTTCTCACCGTGAGGATCCTGAATTCAGTTTTGGCAGGGCTGTCCATCAATGTCCTGTCAATGTCAGTTCCTTTTTTTTTTTCTTTTTGAGACTATTTTCTGTCAACCTATTTCCACTTTAAGAGTTTGTAGAACAGCTTAAGACCACTCAGTCGTTGTTCTACCCACTCAGTGGCCTGAGCAGTGGGAGCTGCAGACCAGCCTTCAGTGGGGGACTGCTGAATAGGCACAGAGGGCACCTGCACACCTTCGGACCAGTCTGCCACCTCACGTTGAGTACCAATGAACTCAGGAGGTGGGGCGGTCCATTCACCCTGAAATTCCTCCTTGGACACAGCCTTCTCAGCTGCCGCCTGCTCTTCCTTTTCAGTCTCTTCAGGATCTCTGTAGAAGGAGAGATCAGGCATGACCTCCCATGGGTGTTCACGGGAGATGGTGCCACGCATGCGCAGAACTTCCCGGGCGAGTATCCACATCAGACCCACTGAGTGAGCTCCCTTGTTGCACGGGATGACAATGTCCACACGGTGCAGAGGAGAATCTGTTACACAGACCAATGGTAGGCAGGTTAACGTAAGAGGCCTCTGTGAGAGGCAGGTGGTCAGCCCTGGGATCAGTAACCACCGGAAGTCTTGGCTCCCAGAAGGCTGCCTGCATCTGGTTAGTGAAGGTTCCAGGAGTGAAGCGGCCAGCAATAGGAGTGGCTCCAGTGACAGCAGCAAAATTCAGCCCAGCTCGCTGGCCAGTATTCCTGGAGGATATGACACTGACATCAGCTGGGTTTTCAATGGCAACAATGGCACGAGCTGCCAACAGAAGCTTCTCCCAGGTTCTCTGCAGATTTATGATGTAGATGCCATGACTTTTCCTTTGTAGATGTACTGTTCCATTTGAAAGTCAAGGTTGGTGCCACCTAAGTGGGTTCCTGCTGCAAGGAATTTGAGGATATCCTCCTCCTTCATTTGCTGGACATCAAGGGCTCCAGACATTGTGAAAATTTCCCTTTAAGTTACGATGGGAATCCAGAGCAATGCCGTGTGGACCCCTGTCTGGGTAGCGTGGAAAGGCAATGCCAGTTCATCCTTAGGAAGTATGAGAAAACCTGGTTTGAGTTAACCAAGTCTGATGGCTGGGGGATGGGAGTCCCCGAGGGGAGGAAAAGGTTTTTGTTTTTTTAAAGATCCTGTTTTTAAAAATTTTAATTTATTGATTATTTATTTTTGGCTGCATTAGGTCTTAGTTGCGGCACATGGTATCTTTCGTTGCAGCACATGGGCTCTTCATTGCGGCACGTGGGCTTCTCTCCAGTTGTGGCATGCGAGCTTCTCTCTAGTTGCGGCCTGTGGGCTTCTCTCTAGTTGTGGCTTGCAGGCTCCAGAAAGCACGGGCTCAGTAGCTGTGGCACACAGGCTTAGTTGCCCTGTGGCATGTGGGATCTTAGTTCCCCAACCAGGGATCGAACCCGTGTCCCCTGCATTGGAAGACGGATTCTTAAGCACTGGACCACCAGGGAAGTCCCAGGAAAAGGTATTTTGGGGCTCTTTACATTAGGAAATCCCAAGCAGGAGTCTGAGTGTCCAAGGTCACCAGCACTGAACTCCAAAGACTTAGTTCTCCTTAGAACTCCACCCACCAAGGGCAAAATTGACGGCTCAGTTGGTGTTTTGTTTTTCCTCTCCAGGGAATATTGCTTTGAAAAAGGTTTGAGACCTTTGAGACAGGGACAAGTGTATGGCCTGGGCTTGGTCTAAGGATAATGGTTTCCCGCACAGGCCTTAGCAAAGAATTCCCAGGTTCAGATCCCAGTCTTCCCACTTACTAGCTCTGTGACCTTGGGTATCTCAATCTCTCTGTTCTTAACTTTTCCAACTGGAAAAGGGGATAATAGTGGTCATCTCCTAGGCTTGTGGTCAGAATTAAATGCAAAAAAGCATGGAAAGCACCCAGCCCACAGCCTGTTCATTATATTGATAGTACAATTATAATTGTTACTATTGTTCTGAAGAGAACGCATTTGAGCTCCTCTAGAGGAAATGTGACGTTACATCCCCGTTGTAATATCCCCTATTACAGTTTTAGCATACTGTTCATCCCAGAAACTCTAGGGCTTAATGTGAATTAGACTAATTGTGGGTTCTTCTTTATGCCTCTCCCAGCTTTAGCCCAGTGTCTGATGCAGGACAGGCGCCCCTGCTAACCCCTCTGTACCCCCATTATCAGTCTTCACCTTGTATTCCATGCTGCAATTTCCTTCTAGTTCTTCCATTGCACCATGGTCTCTGTCTTGCCTAAAGGCCTTTGCATGTGCTGTTCCAGGCAGCTGGGAATGGTGTGAGGTTATTCATCCTTCATACAGGCCTGTTTGCTATTCTGTCTGCCCTTTTGGACTAAATCCCAAGAAGGCAGGCACCATATCGGTCTTATTCATCATTGTATCACCAGCCCTAACACAGGACCTGTTCGAAGGGAGTGCCAATAAATATCTCATCATTGAGTGAATGAATGAGTGATCTCACTGTCTTAATCTTCCATTAAACTGTGAACTTTCTGAGGAAAGGGACTACAGTTTGCTTTGTTCCAAGTATCAGACACAACATCTGCCAGCCATTCAGCAAATATATATTGAGTGCTTACTACATGAAACACACAAAGTACAGATATGAGCAAAAATGGACATGGTTTCTGCCCTTGTGCACTTTTAGTCTGAAAGGGAGAGAGACATTTATCAAACAATCGTACCACTAAATGTAAATTACAGCAGAGAGAAGTGCCTAAAACACAGAAGTACATGGAAGGTGTTGGAAGAGCATGCAGTAGACTGCCTAGCTGGCAAGCAGTCTTAGCTCTTGAATTTTAATGGAGGAGAATGTGGCATCCACAGAGGAGAGCCACTTGGTTCTGCCTTCAGAAAAAAGCTTGTCATCCAGCTTGAGAAATGACAGCTTCCAGATGCAGGGCCTTTAGGACAGGGCCACACACTTCATGGGCATTTCCAGCTGATGGCTGAACATGGTGGGGGAATTGGGGCCTGGACATTTCTGCCCAATGGGGACTCCTCTAATGCAATTTTGTTCCAGGGCTTCCAATTGAGTTGGCTTATTTTTGTCATATCCAAGTTTCTCCTTGCCAGTCCTGCCTCTTCCTCTTTCTCTCTCACAGGCATTCCTCCAACTGTATCTCAACATCTGCTTCCTGGAGAACCTAACCTGACACAGAGGGTCTTGAGGGCTGGATTTCTGTGGGAAGGGGATTTTTTTTTTTTTTTGGCTGTGTTGGGTCTTTGTTGCTGCGCGTGGGCTTTCTCTAGTTGCGGCCAGTGGGGGCTACTCTTCCTTGTGGAGCACAGGCTCTAGGTGCACAGGCTTCAGTAGTTGTGGTTCATGGGTTCTAGAGCGCATGCTCAGTAGTTGTGGCGCATGGGCTTAGTTGCTCTGCGGCATGTGGGACTTCCCGGACAGGGCTTGAACCCGTGTCCCCTGCATTGGCAGGTGGATTTTTAACCACTGTGCCACCAGGGAAGCCCCTATTACCCGATTTCTGAGTCTGTGGGAGCAAAACCCCTCTGGAGTCTGGGATGGCAGTGGGATGTTTCAGGAAACTATGCCCAGCGCTGGGTGTAACCTCCCTGTAACTTTTCCTTTACTGTCTAAGGTGGGGTCCTTTTTGCTCCATGCAGAGTTTCGGAAAAATCTCCGTCTATAGAGGATGGATATGTGGAAGATTAAAGGATATATAACCTCGAAAATATTGAATCTGGCCCCAAAGCCTGGGCTGCGAGCTTCACTGCCATCGTTCCAGAGGGCGCCCCAAGGAAAGGTCCTCCAAATGTTCCCGGCCTCGCCTGGTACTGATTTAGAGTCCCCTTGGGAGGCGACTTACTGGGAGATAGACAGACGGATAAATCTGACTCTCCAGTGGACAGACATGTGATGAATGAGTGACTGATGGATTGTGAGATGTCAAGACAGGAAGATGGATCTGTTAGCCAGTCAGGCATGTGACTCTCAGAAAGACTGACAGAGGGCCTGAAGGCCTGGTATCGTCCCACCTGCCTACTCGGCCACAAGGCGGCGCTGCCGCCTCGCCCAGCGGCGCCCACCGTCCAGGCTGCGCGCGCTCTCGTGGGCCGGCGGCGGGGGCGGGTCCAGCGTGCTCACGGGGCGGGTCCAGCAGCCTCGCGGGGGCGACCACGGGCGGAGCGCGCGGCGGGGACTGGGCGCCCGTGCTCGCGGGGGCGGCTGGGGGCGGGACGCGCGGCGGCGGCGCGTTCCGTTCCGGGCCGAGGCTCGCGGCGGAAAAGTTGCGCGGCGGTGACGAGCGGCCCCGGGACGGGCAGCGAGCGCGACGCCGAGCCGGCCTCCGGCGCCCGCGGCCCCGCCATGGACGACCTCGGTGAGTGAGCAGGAGGCCGAGGGAGTAGGCAGCGAGGGGTGCGCGGCCCCGGGCCGCTGCGGGCGCGAGCGAGCGGCAGGCGGAATC